AAACAGGTGCGGTCGGGCCTGGCCGGCGGGGGCGTGGGTGGATTGGTTTTCTGGGCGATGGTGATCAGGTGGCGGGTGGGGTGGCGGCTTGGAGGTGTGGGGGAGCGCCGAGGGTCGCTGCTGCAGGGGCTGGCGTGGCGCCTGCGCGGGGATGGCGCGCGGCTGCCGGAGGTGCGGCTAGTTGAGGCGCGCCGGGGCGTCCTGCGCCTGGGCGGTCTGCTGGTGGCCGCCGAGCTAGGGCTACCAAAGCCGCTGGGAGGCTGTCGGCGGGATGGGCCGTAGTCTTGCGGGCGTCGCCTCCGCGTGGGCGTGGGCGGAGGAGCAGGCGGGGCGACTGGGGGTTGCGTAATCGGCCGGGTTGCTGCGCGCGCGCTCACGCCCGCGCGCGCGCGCACGCACGCGCACGCGCACGCGCACACGCACGCGCACACGCACACCACACAAGCACACGCACACGCACACGCACGCACACCTGCACGCGCGCGCGCGCGCGCACGCCCATGCGCACGCACGCGCGCACGCGCACGCTCGCGCACGAACACACGCACACGCACACGCACGCGCACGAGCACGCGCATACAGACGCGCACGCGCACGCGCACGCGAACGCACGCGCGCACGCACGCGCACGCGCACAAGCACACGCACACGCGCACGCACGCACACACACACACACACGCACGCACGCACGCACGCACGCACGCACGCACGCACGCACGCACGCACACGCACACGCACACGCACACGCACACGCACACGCACACGCACACGCACACGCACACGCACACGCACGCACACACGCGCACGCGCACTTACACGCACACGCACACGCACGCGCACGCGCTCACGCACGCGCACACGCACACGCACGCGCACACGCGCACGCGCGCGCACACGCACACGCACACGCACACGCACACGCACACGCACGCGCACACGAACGCGCACGCGCACACGCGCGCGCACGCGCAGACTCACGCGCACGCGCACACGCGCACCCACGCCCGCGCCCACGCCCACACCCACACCCTCACCCTCACCCACACTCACTTCCACTCGCACACCCACGCCCGCACCCACGCTCAGACCCGCGCGCCGCGCCCGACGCGCGGCCGACCAACGCGCGGCCATGCGCACGCCGGACGCCGCGCGCCACGCACCGCGCTCCACGCACCACGCACCACGCACCACGCACCGCGCACCACGCACCACGCACCACGCACCACGCACCACGCACCGCGCGCCACGCACCGCGCGCCACACGCGCCCACGCGCGCACCCGCGCCCGCACCCACCCTCACCCCCGCGCCCCCGCCCAGGCCCGCGACCGCGTCCACGCCCGCAACCGCGCCCGCGCCCGCGCCCGCGCCCGCGCATTTTGCGTCGGCGGCTAGGCAGAGTCACTGCACTGGCGGATAGGGCAAAAGTAGGGCGTATCATTGTCAATAAGCCGCGATGCACGTGGGGGGGCGGGGGAGGGGGAGGAGGGCCCGGCGCGGGCGGGGGGGGGGCGGAAATTGGGCCCGCTCAAAGCGGGGCCAGGTCGCGGCAGGGGCGGCGCCAGGGCAGCGGGGCGGCGGCCGCGGAGCAGCCGGGGGTCGGGGGCGGCCACGGGCGCCGCGCAGGGCGGGGGGGAACGGGCCCAGCAGCACAGCAAGGATGCCGTGCGCATGATCGAGCCGACCTTCCAGGCGACAGCAGCCAGAGAAGACCACCTCAGGGGAGGGGCCAGCGGGTAGCTGGGAAGGGCCCAGCATGCGAAGCGAGAAGAAGCGCCGAGATCCATGGACTTCCGAGGCGCCAGATGGCGGGCGGCCCAGGTACGCCGCGGGCAGGGGCCGCCGGGGGGCGGAGAAGCGGCCGAGAAGGCCAGCGGGCAGAGCCGGCGGGGGGCCCGCGAGCCGGCCTGGAAGCGAGGCAAAGTGGCCAGCTGGGGGGGGCGGCCAAGGCCGGCCAAGCACCCGGGAGGGCCAGGCAGACAGGGCGGAGGCCACAGGCGAAGCCTGTCCCAGAACCCTGCATAAGGCTGGCGATCCGTCCTGCCGAGGCAGGGATGCAACGGCGGGGCAGGGGTCTCCCCGGGCGCAGAGGCGCCGGGGCGGCAGTCCCAGCGCGCGAGCGGGGAGGCAGTGCGCGGGAGCGAGTGGCGCGCGGCAAGACCAGCGCGCCGGTCAGGCAAGCGCAGCGGCCACCGCCTGAAGGGACAGGCGCGAGCAGCGCTGCGCGCTGCGCCCGTGGGCGCCCGAGGACTGGCGGCCCCTGGGCGGGGCGGCAGGGGGCCCGGCACTAAGAATACAAGAGCGCCGCGCGCGGGGGCCGAGGGCGCGCGGGGGGTAGCGCCGACGGGCGCAGTGAACCCGCGCCCCGCGCGCGCGCGCCCCGCGCGCGCGCGCGCCCGCGCGCCGCGCGCCCGCGCGCCCGCCCGCGCGCGCGCGAGAACGCGCACGCGTGCGCGCGCACCCGCGCGCGCGCACGCACGCGCGCACGCGTGCGCACATGCGCGCGCGCACACGCACACACGCGCGCGCGCACGCGCGCACGCACGCACAAACGCACGCGCACGCGCGCTCGTGCGCGCGCGCACACGCGCACGCCCGCGCACGCGCTCACGCGCATATGCGCGCACGCACGCCCGCGCGCACATGCGCGCGCACACACGCGCGCACGCGCGCACGCACGCGCGCACGCGCGCACGTTCGCGCACACGCAAACACGCACACAGCCACACGCACACGCCGACGCACGCACGCACTCACGCATTCACGCACTCACGCACACACACGCACGCACGTACGCACGCACGCACACGCGCACACGCGCACACGCGCACGCACGCACAACCGCACACACACACACGCGCACACGCACACGCGCACGCACGCACGCGCGCACACGCACACACGCCCACACGCCCACACGCGCGCACGCACGAACGCACGCACGTGCACACGCGCACACGCACACGCGCACGCACGCACGCACGCACACACCCACACGCACGCACACACGCGCACACGAACGCACGCACGCACGCACACGCGCACACATGCACACACGCGCACACGCACACGCAAACACGCACATTCGCACGCGCGCACGCGCGCGCACATGCACACACGCTCCCATGCACACGCGCACACATGCACAAGCGCGCACACGCGCACACACGCACACGCGCACACACGCGCACACGCACACGCGCGCACGCGCACATGCGCACACACGCACGCACGCGAGCGCGCACACGCTCACAGACGCACACACGCACCCGCGCACACACGCGCACATGCACACACGCACACACGCACACACGCACACGCGCAAACACGCACACACGCACACACGCATACATGTTCACGCGCACACACGCACCCACGCACACACGCACACACGCACACACGCACACACGTACACACGCACACATGGGGCGGTTCGTGGCCCCATAGGGAGCTCCATCGAAGGTCCCACGGGCGCAGCCCGCATGCGTCTCCCACCCAGTGCAGCGTTTCGTGGCCTCGTAGGGAGTTCCGCCGAAAGTCCCAGGGGCGCAGCCCGCATGCGTCTCCCCCACCCAGCACAGCGTTACGTGGCCCCGTAGGGAGCTACACCGACTGTCCCAGGGGCGCAGCCCGCATGCGCCTCCCCCACCCGTACAGCGTTTCGTGGTCCCAGAGGGAGCTCCACCGAAGGTCTCAGTGTCGCAGCCCGCATGCGCCTCCCCCACCCCGTACAGCGTTTCGTGGCCCCATAGGGAGCTCCACTGACATTCCCAGGGGCGCAGCCCGCATGTGTTTCCCCCAGCGAGAACAGCGCTTCGTGGCCCCATGGGGAGCTTCTCCGAAGGTGCCAGTGTCGCAGCCCGCATGCGTCTCCCCCGCCCGCTACAGCGTTTCGTGGCCCTATTAAGGGGCTCCGCCGAAAACGATAACCTTCAACTGCGGTGTTCACAACTGCATATGGTTGGGTTCTTCGCCAGGCTAAGTTGCGCAACTTTCTTGTGTGATCCTTTTTGTAGGCGGTTTGCATACTGAATTTCGTTTTGTGGTTTTCAAATCGAATCAATCACTTTGTCTCTGAGAGGCTGTCAAGACAAAGGTGACGAGTCTTGCTAAAATGTATATGTTTTCCACACGGGATGCGACGATTTTTGCATTTGGGGCCGTTTTCGTCGGTCCTCTGGGGGCACTTTTGAGTCGTTTTGGTGGCTTCGTTGGGCGTCTCGGCGCTCTGATGGACCATGCTGGCGCTTTGTTTGGACTCTTTTGGGCCGGCCTGGGGCTCTCAGGGCCTTGCGTCCGCACACGGGGGTCCCGGGGAGGACCGGACCTCCCTCCGGATGAGTTCCCGAGGGGGTCGTCCCAGGCTATGGGGGGGTCAAATTCCACATTTGGGGCCCTTGGGGGTGATTGTAGGGGGGAAAAATCTCCAACCCTGGAGACCCACAAGGGGTAGGCTGATTTTTAAACATGGCCACGAGACGGTCCTCCCCACTACCCCGTCTCTTCCAGGAGTGGCTACGGCTTCGCCGCCGATCTCCTTAGGAGGCGTCGCAGGCGCACGCGCGGAGCGGCATCGGCCCTCGCTCCGTTCGGGTGGCCCCAAACGGTGTGGTGACCACACCGCGGGGTGAGTCAGAGGGGATACAGAGTCACCGCATGGTTCTGGGACTCGCTCGGGTCGCTTCCCGAGGACGCCTGGGGCGACTGGGGCTTCCAGGGTCCCAAAGCCGTGCGGTGACGGACCGGGCCCTGAGATCTTTGGGGATTTCGAGGTCGCCACACCGTCCCTCGCTGCTAGCTGAGGCTAGCTGGGGCTAGCTACGCCTAGCTGGGGCTAGCTGGGGCTATCTGAGGCTAGCTGTGGCCAGCTGGGGCTAGCTGGGGCTAGCTGGGGCTAGCTGGAACTAGCTGGGACCTGGGCTAGCTGGTGCTAGCTGAGGCTAGCTGGGGCTAGCTGTGGTTAGCTTTGGGGCCCCAGACTCGCCTCGCCTTCCTCTCCAGGAACAGTCCGTGACCCTGCGCTACCCCAGCGAGGAGGACGCCGCGGCCGCCGCGGAGCTGCTGGACGGGCAGCCTGTGGCCACGGGGAGCGGCGGCCCCGTCGACCCCTCTGTCCTGTGCCAGAGGTTGCAGGAGGAGGAGGAGGAGGAGGAGGAGGAGGAGGAGGAGGAGGAGGAGGAGGAGGAAAAAAGGAGGAGGAGGAGGAAAAAAGAGGAGGAGGAGGAAAAAGAGGAGGAGGAGGAGGAGGAGGACGAGACGAGGAGGAGGAGGAGGAGGAGGGAGGAGGAGGAGGAGGAGGAGGAGGAGGAGGGGGAGGGGAGGAGGAGGAGGAGGAGGAGGAGGAGGGGAGGAGGAGGAGGGAGGAGGAGGAGGAGGAGGAGGAGAGGAGGAGGAGGAGGAGGAAGAGAGAGGAGAGGAGGAGGAGGAGGAGGAGAGGGAGCAGGAGAAAGAGGAGGAGGAGGAGGAGGAGGAGGAGGGGCCGTAGCCATTTTTGCTCAAGGCTCAAGTAAACCATTCTCGAGGTGGTTCAGGAGAACCGAGGCCCCCGAGCCAAATTTTATTTCTCGCACGATCCACTCCCCTCGTAGGGACATTCAATTGTCCAAGGAGGTGCACCGCAGTCATTTCGGCCACTTCCAGTTTGTTTTGTTTTATCCCAGCCCGGGCAGTCCAACAGAAGGGCGCCCACTCAGATGGCACAATGGGCAGCGACATGGAAGTGCAAATGCGGGCAGCAGAACTGGCTCAAACAGATTAATTGCAGCAAGTGCGGAACACATTGGAAGGCGTCGCAGAGTATGTCGGACACGGCTCAGACCAGCAAGCGTCGCCAACGTTCCAACAGCCAGAAGTCGAACACAGCAGACAGCCGGCCATGGGAAGGGGAAGAGCTGAGCATCAAGGTCACCTTGACCATCGATGCTGAGTCTGTCTTTAAGTCCTTGTCAAGCAGAGACTTGAAGAAGCCGACTGAGTGTACCCTGTTAGGACACACAACTTGGATACGACAGATGATGGAGCCCGGAATGGTGCATAGCATTCAGTGGTGTGATACCCGCGACATGACTGCGGATGGACACACCAAGGGGAGCATCGACAGAGAGATGCTCCTACAAGTCATGTGAGGTATACAGACTTTCAAACCTGACCTAAAAAGACACATTCCATATCGGGCCGGGCAGACAAGAAGTTCTGAGGCCGCCTGAGGAGCACATTATATATGCGAGGCAACTTGCTGACGGGTCCAACTCCTTTGGGCCGGTTTCTTTTCCTGTCTTTATGAAGGTTAACTGCTGAACTGTTTCTGTAATGCGGGTGATGGACGCACGCTTCGTCCCCCTCCCCCCCGACTCTAAAGCGATCTGGGGGACGTAAGGAGTGGAAGCGAGCGTGCGCCCGCGGCCGCCTTGGATCAAAGCGGCCGGCCGCCCATATTTGACTGTGCCTAACCGCGAGGCACACTATCGCTATTGATACTAAAGGCATCCCTTTTTACTTGACATGGCATCCCCTCTTGCATTGTGACTATCGCTACTACGATACAGCCGAGCTGGAGCTTGGCTTCGCCTGAGGCGAAGCTGTTGGCGGGGCCTCCCAGCCCCCTTCAAACTGCCGTGGCCCCCCCGAAGTGCCTTCAAGATGGCCCAAGAGGCTCCCCAAACGCCCCGGGGCCAACCACGCCAGCAGCTCAGGATAGATAGAGACTTGAACCCACCCCCCGGCGCTCAAGGAGGAGGAGGACAGGAGAGGCGGTGGCAGTGGGCGGTCAGATGATGATGACCCTGACCCCTGTTTTGCCACAGGCTTGCCGGCCGCATGGCCGGTTCTCCGCGCTTCTGCCACTCGCAGAGGCCCTCGCCGCTCCCCTGCCCTCACCCGCCAGTTCGCGCCTGGCGCCAGGCGGGCGTGCGCTGGCGCCGGGAGGGGCAGCTGCCCTGCCGCCTGCCTCCGGCGCCCTGCTGGCCGCTGGCGCCCCGCGCGCCACGCTGCCAGCCGCTGCGTGCTGCAGGCCGGCGCTGCTGCTACAGCGCCTGGCCCACCCCTTGCCGGCGCGCGCGCCCGCGCGCGCCCGGCACTGCGTTGCTGCCGCACGGCTCCTCAGCCGGCGGTGCGCCTCCAGCGCCCAGCTGGCTG